CCCCACACTCTCAGACAGTACATTCCAGACCCTAACCCCTCGAGTGACCCTCCCTCCCCCACACTCTCAGACAGTACATTCCAGACCCTAACCCCTCGCTGTGTAAGAGTGGTTCCCCTTTGATACCATTCTTTATTTTACTGATGACAGTAAATTTGTGTTCTCTCATTCACAACATGTCTGCCAATGGGAACAGGTTCTGCCTCTCAACTCTATCCAGCCCACTCATAATTTTGAAAACCTTAATCAAATCTTCTCTCAGCCTCCTTCTCACCAAGGTGAATAGTCTCAACTTCTCCAATCTATCCTCACCACGGAAGTTTCCTGTAACTGGGACAATTCCAATAAACCTTTTGTTTATTCACTTGTGGGATGTGGGCCAGTATTTATTGCTCATCCCTAGTTACCCGTGAGAAGGTGGTGGTGAGCTGCTTCCATCCAAGTGAGTTGCGAATATTCCATCACATTCCTGATTTGTTGTGGATGGACAGGCTTTGGGGAGTCAGGAGGTGAGTTACTCGCTGCAGTGTTCCCAGCCTCTGACCTGTTCTCGTAGCCGTTGTGTTTATGTTGTGAGTCCAGTTCAGTTTCTCATCAATGGGTACCCAAGGATGTTGATAGTGCAGACGCAGTGACAGTAGCACCATTGGATGATAAAGGGCAATGATTAAATTCTGTCTTATTGGAGATGGTCAGCCTGGCATTTATGTGGCACGAATGTTATTTGTCACTTGTCAGCCCAAGCCTGGATATTGGCTAAAGAGAAAACAAGCTAATATTTTGAGTCTAGATGAAGAGTCATCGTCACTGGCTGGACCTGGCTGTATTTGAACATGGACTGTTTCAGTATCTGAGGAGTTGCGAATGGTGTTGAACATTGTGCCATTATCAGCGAACATCTCCACGTCTCACTTTATGATGGAGGGAAGGTCATTGATGAAGCAGCTGAAGATGGTTGGGCCTAGAACGCTATCCTGAGGAACTCCTGCAGAGATGTCCTGGAGCTGAGATGATTGACCTCCAATAACTACAACCATCTTCTTTTGTGCCAGGTATGACTCCAACCAACAGAGAGTTGCCCCGATACCCATTAATTCCAGTTTTGCCAGGGTTTCTGATGCCACACTTTGTTGAATGCAGCCTTGATATCAAGGGCAGTCAGACTTTCAGTATTTAATGTGGATAAAGTTCTGGGACTGGGTGAGATGCATCGAAAAATAATGAAGGAAACAAGAGTAGGAAATGCAGACGCCCTGGGAAAATGTGTTTGGACTTCCCTGGACATGGGGAATTGGTGCCAGAGGACTGGAGAATTGCAAACATTGTGGCTTATTCAAGAAAGAGTTTAAAGTTAAGACCAGCAATTACAGAGCAGTCAGTTTAACTGGAGAAGCATCATCGAGAAACCATCATTCTGGATTGTTCTCTCTGTGTCCATATATCTCCCACATGACCATTGAGAATCAGCACAGGTTATTAAAGGGAAAATCTAGTTTAACTAACTTGTGGAGTTTTTTGAAGAGGTAACAGGAAAGCTGAAACAGGGTAATGCTGTTGATATGGTATACATGGATTTTCAGGAGGTGCTTGATACTGAACGACAGTCTTGTGAGGATGGTTGAGGTCATAATAAAAAAGGGACAGTAGCTATGTGGATAGAAAATTGGCTTAATGATAGAAAACCAGGAGTAGCGGTTAATGGATATTTTTCAGGCTGGAGGAAGGTTTGCAGTGGAACACCCCAAAGGTAGTATTGGGATCTCTGCTTTTCCTGACATATAATAATGATTGAAAACTTTTCCTGATATATGATAATGATCTGGATCACGGTGTACAGGAGACAATTTCAAAGTTTGCAGATGACACTAGACTTGGCAGAATTGTAATCTGTGAGGAGGACTCCCAAAGGAAAATGACGGAGTGGGCAAATAGGTGCCAGTTGAGGTTCAACGCAGAGAAGTGCGAAGTGATTTATTTTATGAACATATAAAATAGGAAAAGTAAGCCATTTGGGCCTCTTAAAGCAGTCTGCCATTCAATAAAACCATCAGTTCATGCTGCAATTTCCACATTCCCATGAATTCCTGGTAATTCTCAATTCTCCTGCTCAGCAAGAATCTACCCACCTTCTGCCTTTAAATACTCACCACCTTCTGAAGCAGACAGTTCCCAAGTCACATAATACAGAGAAACAAATTCTCCTCATCTCTGTCCTGACAGGGTGACCTTTATTTTTAAAACAGTGCCCCCTAGATCTGGACTAGGGGCCATAGAGTTATTGCAGTTCAGAAAGAGGCCATGCAGCCCATCATATCTGTGCGAAACATCGATCTAATCTGATTTGCCAGCACTCAGTCCATGACCTTGTGTATTCTGTGATCATCCGAACACTTCAAGAGTAAAGCCTCCTCTATACTATCACCATCAAACACTCCTGGGACAGGGAGATCACAGGGAGAGATACAGAGGAAAGCTTCCTCTACACTGTCCCCCATCAAACGCTCCCAAAACAGAGAGAGATACAGAGGAAAGCTCTCTCTACACTACCACCAAACACTCCCAGGAAAGGGAGAACACAGGGAGAGATATAGAGCAAAGCTGCCTCTATACTGTTCCCCATCAAACACTCCCAAAACAGGGACAGCACAGGGAGAGATACAGAGTAAAGCTCCTTCTACACTACCACCATAAAACACTCCCAGGACATGGACAGCATAGGGTTAGACACAGATTAAAGCTTCCTCTTTACTGTTCCCACCAAACCCTCCCAAGACAGGGATAACACAGGGTTAGATACAGAGGAAAGCTTACTCTATATCGACAGGCTGTCCCTTACTGTCTCTCATGTATCACTTGAGAGTAACTGTCTGATGACTTTATTGTGAATGAAAGCTGGGTTTTCTCCCCAGGTGATCAATTCTCAGTAACCAGCAGGATCTGAGGCTAATTTATTTGAATGAGCTGATCACAGTTTCCTTTTATTGATCCATTCTGGCAAAGTTGTGAATTGCTGAGGTTTGATTGATGAGCAGGAAGCTTTTCAGTGTGACACCTGATTGGGAAGTGATCGGATTGGGTTAGAGAGAATGGGACCATTCCTTAACGAGCAGTGGCTGCTGGAGACACAGTTTAAAGACTTGAGTTGGGCCTTACTTCTCTCAGTCTGAGTGAAGAGAGAGAGAGTGTGAGTGTGTGTATCAGTGAGGGAAGGGTTTGTGTTTGGTGAAGTGGGAGGGGTGTTTCAGTGCTGGCTATTTGAACAAGATGAATGAGCCTGTGAAAAAGAAAACTCCTAAAGCAGCTGCAGCTGAGAAGAAACACAGTAAGCGTAGACTGAAGAGGAAGGAGAGTTACTCGGTTTATATCTATAAGGTCCTTAAACAGGTAATGACAGGGCCCTATACTCTCACTCCTGTTTGAAACCTTCAATAAATCCTGTACCTTTTTTTGTTCTTCTCACCTCACCTGTAGTATAATCTCTATTTAACTACTGCTCTAATAATCTCTCTCTCTTTTCCTTTCCCCCCCCTGCATGGTGCTCCCATTAAGTTCCTGTCTCCTCTTGAACCTGTTCTATCTCTTGCTTGCAAAGTTTTTAATATTCAATTCTGTGGGTCTGGAGTCTCAAGCCAGACCAGTTCTGACTGTCGGATGGTCCTGCCTAAAGGACACTGAATTAAGTGGGTTTTTGTTATCAGCCTTGTCAAGGTTTAGATTTTAATTCCAGATTTATGCACTCAATTTCCCCAGCTGTGGTGAGGTTTGAACTTGTGTCCTCCTAGGCCTCTGGATTACTGTCCAGTGACATTTCTCTACACCACACCACCCCCCCCCCCACCCCCAAATGAACAAAATTGCTCTATGGTCACACTTGAGCTCCCTAGACCACATGGTCTCCAGTGAAAGTGTTGCATTTACATAGTGGCCTTTTCTAATCCGCCAGTTCAGATGTTGGCTGCTGCTAGAACAGGTGGGACTTGAATGAGGGCTGCCTCTCTCCCAGAGGGAGGGACATAATTAACTAACAATAGTGATATAATAAATGGCTCATCAAGGCCTAATCAACTCTATGGCTTCATTGGTTTGGAAATGAAACACTTTCCAAGTTATAAAGGAGACATCACTGAAGGCATGCTGACTTGTACAGTTGGTTTTTTTATTCATTCATGGGATGAGGGTGTTGCTGGCTGGGCAGCACTTATTGCCCATTCCTAATTGCCCAGGGGCCAGTTGAGTCAACCACATTGCTGTGGGTCTGGAGTCACATGTAGGCCAGACCAGGTAAAGATGGCAGTTTCCTTCCCTACAGGGCATTAGTGAACCAGATGGGTTTTTCCAACAATCGGCAATGGATTCATGGTCATCATTAGACTCCTAATTCCAGATAATCATTGAATTCAAATTCCACCATCTGCCATGGTGTAATTCAAGCCCAGGTCCCCAGAACGTTACCTGGGTTAACAGTCCAGTGATAACACCACTAGGCCATTGCCTCCCTCTGTGTGCCACATTGAGGGAATTGACAGGTGAAGTCAAATATGTATACCCACTTGGAATTTGCAAAAGTGAGGGATGTTTGCAGCCACCTCTTGAGGGGCAAATAGATTAGCTAAGCCAGTGCTTGTTATCCATGACACTGAACAGTGAGCATTAGCACATTGGGCTGAATGGCCTGTGTAGGAATGAAGGTAGCACAGAACCAGGCTAAGCAGCACAATTCTTTGACTAGAAGCTAAAGAACTAACTGCAGCCTGAGGACCAGGTGGGGAATGGACATGACAGGTCTGTAGAAAGCTGCTGTGACAGTGATACTGTTTCCTCTTCAGACTAATCAGTCCCTTTAACATCTAATTAACCTACACTGTACTTCCATCTGGTTTTTAAAAACTGTGCAATAAGATCTGAACAGGAAGGTGGTGTATTAGAGACTGGCCTCTTGGCTGGGTGAGGGTGATCCTAGTCAGAGAAGGGATATTTAGGATTGGAGCAAGGACTTCTGAGGGGAGAGGAGGTCTAGCAACGAAGCAACTAACTGACTCTTTCAGAGTACAGTGTTTTCAGAATGGGCACTGCTGCCCCCTCTCTTCTAGATGGAAATGGCCATGGGTTTGGAAGGTGCTGTCTGAGGATCTAAGCATTGATGCAGTGCATCTTGTAAATAGTAGCAGGGTTTACGGAGGTCGTGGCTGTATGTGGAAGTGGTGCCAATCAAGTGGGCTGCTTGTGTTGGGGGCTGCACTCCCCCAGGCAAATGGGGAGTATTCTGTCACACACTCCAGTCTTGTGCCTTGTAGATGGCCAGGTATTGAGGAGTCAGGGGTGGGAATGTGGGGGTGAGTTAATTGCTGCAGCATTCCTAGCTTCTGGCCTGCTCTTGTAGCCATTGTTTTGCGTCCAGTTGAGTTTCTGGTCAATGGTAACCCCCAGGATGTTGATAGTGGGGATTCAGTGATGGTAACACTATTGAATGCCAAGGGATGGTGGTTAGACCATCTCTTATTGGAGATGCACATAGCTTGGTATTTGTGGTGCAAATATTACTTGCCACTTGTCAGCCCAAGCCTGGATATTGTCCAGATCTTGTTGCATTTGAACACAGACTGCTTCAAGTTGAGTTGCAAATGGTGCTGAACATTACACAATCATCCATGAACATCTCCACTACTGACCTTGTGATGGAGGAAAGGTCATTGATGGTTGGGCCTAGGACACTACCCTGAGGAGCTCCTGCAGAGATGTCCTGGAGCTGAGATGATTGACCTCCAACAACCGCAAACATCTTCCTATGTGTCAGGTTTGACTCCAACCACCGGAGAGTTTGCCTCTGATACCCATTGATTCGAGTTTTGCTAGGGCTCCTTGATGCCACACTCTGTTGAATGTAGCCTTGATTTCAAGGGCTGTCACACTCTCTCCTCACCTCGAATTCGGCTCTTTTGTCCATGTTTGAACCAAGGCTGTAATGAGGTCAGGAGCTGAGTGACCCTGGCAGAACCCAAACTGGGCATCACTGAGCAGGTGCTGCTTGATAGCGCTGTTACTGACACCTTCCATCACTTTACTGATTTAATAGTCTGGGGCAGTAATTGGCTGGGTTGGATTTGTCCTACTTTTACGTACAAGACACTTGGGCAATTTTCCACATTGTCGGGTAGATACCAGTGTTGTAACTGTACTGGAACAGCTTGGCTAGGGGAGCGGCAAGTTCTGGAGCACAAATCTTCAGTACTACTGCCAGAATGTTGTCAGGGCCCATAGGCTTTGTAGTATCCAGTGTCTCCAACCATTTCCTGATATCACTGAATCGAATTGGCTGAAGACTGGTATCTGTAATGCTGGGGACCACTGGAGGAGGCTGAGATGGATCATCCACTTGGCACTTCTGGCTGAAGATTGCTGCGAATGCTTCAGCCTTGTCTTTTGTACTGACATGCTGGGCCCTTCCATCATTGAGGATGGGGATATTTGTGGAGCCTCCTCCTCCAGTGAGTTGTTTAATTGTCCACCACCATTCACAACTGGATGTGGTAGGACTACAGAGCTTAGATCTGATCCATTGCTTGTGGGATCGCTTATCTCTGTCTATCACTTGCTGCTTTTCCTGTTTGGCGTGCAAGTAGTCCTGTTTGGTAGCTTCACCAAGTTGACACCTCATCTTCAGGTATGCCTGGCATAGCCTCCTGCACTTTCCATTGAACGAGGGTTGAAACCATTACCATCAAGCCAGGGGAAAGTGGGGGATATGCCAGGCCATGAGGTTATAGATTGTGCTGTAGTATAATTCTGCTGCTGTTAATGGCCCACAGAGCCTCATGGATGTCCTGTCTTGAGTTGATACATCTGAAGTCTGACCCACTTAGAACGGTGATAGGACCACACAACACAATTCATTATTCTCGATGAAGGTGGGACTTCCCCCTCCATGGACTGTGCAGTGGTCACTCTCCAGAACACTTGTGGATATGTGTATCTGCAGCTGGCAGATTAGTAAGGATGAGGTCAAGTATGTTTGTTCCCTCACCCCCTGCCGAAGGCCCAGTCTAGCAGCTATGTCCTTTAGGACCCGACCAGCTCAATCTGTAATACTGCTGCTGAGCCACTCTTGGTGGTGGACATTGAAATCCCCCACCCAGAGTACATTGTGTCCTTGCCATCCTTAGTGCTTTAAGTGTTGCTCAGCATTGCCCCTGAGCTGATGAATCAGTACTCAATGGTATGTGGTAATCAGCAGGCGGTTTCCTTGCCCCTGTTTAACCTGAAACCACTTGAGATCATGGGATCCAGACTCCATGTTGAGGACTCCCAGGGCAACTCCCTCACAACTGTATACCACTGTGCCCCCACCTCTGCTGGGTCTGGCCTGCCAGTGGGACAGAACATATCCAGGGATGGTGATGTCTGGGACATATGATTCTGTGAGTATGACTATCTTACAGATAATGTCCAGCTCTGACTAGTCAGACTAGGTAAGGCCTGTTAGAGGCCAACAGAAGTTGGCCACTCTGGCCATCAAGCCTGCTCTTGTTCAATACGATCACCAACCTGATAGTGGAGTTGGGATTTCCTGCCTCTTTCTCTCATAACCCTTCATTCTGTAATGATTAAGATTATTCCAGTCTGAGATGTTTGATAACCCAGCCCTCCAGGATAAATAATTTTACAGATCAACTACCCTGAAAAGGAATTCCCCTCTCAATATGCAAGCCTTTGTACTGAAACTGTTCTCCTGGTTGTAGACTCCCCCACATGTGGTAAAAGTTGTTTTCCCATCTAACCTGTTGAGTCCCTGAAGAATGTTGTATTTGAGGAGTTGAGCTCTTGAAGGGAGGAGAATGCTGAAGTTCAGGTGTAGCTAGCAGAAAGAACAGCCTCCATGGGAGATTGAGCTGGCATTGCGGGATGGGGTTGGAGCTGAAGGATTTGAGGATGAGAATTTGACTGTGGGTTGGGATTTGTTCTGATCCTGGCCTCTTGCTGTGTTTCCAGGTTCACCCTGACACTGGGATTTCCAGTAAGGCCATGAGCATCATGAACTCCTTTGTGAATGATGTGTTTGAGCGGATCGCAACTGAAGCATCACGGCTGACCCAATACAACAAGAGGAGTACCATCACAAGCCGGGAGGTGCAGACAGCAGTACGACTGCTCCTGCCTGGGGAGTTGGCCAAACATGCTGTGTCCGAGGGCACAAAAGCTGTCACCAAGTATACCAGCGCCAAGTAGAGAATGGAGGAGCAAGCAAAAGGGTTTAGCTCCATCAAACCCTGGATCACTCCAGAACCTGTTCAATAAAGATTAACTTGCTGCACGTGTTTTTGCTGTTTGTTTGTCTGAGGTGGTGGAGGGGCTAGTGAATTAATGACTGATCCTGAGACGTTGTTCTGTTCACAGGATTTTTTTTGTCAGGATAGTCCTTTTTGGTGCCTTGTTTGCTTCCACCCAAATCCTCCAATGTCACTCCAAAATGGGTCACTGATCGTAGACACTCCCTAATCTCTGGAAACAAGGCTGCTTCTCCTCTCGTTCCCAGTAGGTTTTAGATTGGCTACAAAATCACCTTCACATCTCAATCCTTGTGGCTTTTGAGGCTGAGATTTTTCAGTTATAAATGAAGGCAGTAAAAAAGTGGGCATGAATGTCAGACTAGCCATGGTCCTAGTAAATGGCAGAACATGATCTACTCATGTTTCTATTTCTTATAGATGTGAATTGACTCAGCATTTAGTTAGCCACCCACTATCATTTGGGCCTTATTGTATGCAAATTGGCTGCTGCAGCGAGTCTGTTTTCTCCAAAGCTAAGACAGCAGAGCAGAAATGTCAGGAGTTTCTGTGGCCAAGTGAAGAGGCCCAGCAGAAATAACCCTTCCAAAGGATGGGGGTGAAACTTCCTGAGGGAAGGATGAGGCAGCCATGGAAGAATGGTAAAATAGTGCTGAGTCAGCACAGCTTCAAGGGGGAGGTCATGCCTAACAAATCTCTTACAATTCTTTGGAGAGGTAATGAGCAAGCCATACAAAGGAGAGCCAGTGGCTGTGATCTACTTAGATTTCCAGATGGCCTTTGATAAGGTGCCACACTGCCACACAGCCACACAGCCACACAGCATCCTGGTAAATAAAAGTTTATGGTGTCTAGGGCAACGGTATTGGTGTGGATAGAGGATTCTCTGGTAGAAAAGAGTGAGAAAAAGGAGTCTTTCTCAGGCTGGGAGCTAGTGATTAGTAGAGGTCGATAGGTTTTAGTTAACAATCCATATGAAAAAACTGGGAGAATTGCAGGTGGCTTAGTACTAGGGACTCAGGTTCTGGTCTACCCTCAGTTGACAGTGTGCGTGTGGAGTTTGCATGTTCTCTCCAGGTCTCCATGGGTTTGCTCTGGTTTCCTCCCGCAGTCCAAAGATGTGCAGGTTAGGGCGGCCTGGCCATGTTAAATTGTCCATTGTGTCCAGGGATGTGCACGCTGGGTGGGTTAGCCATGGGAAATGCAGAGTTACAGGGATAGGATGGGTTGGTGTGACCTTGATGGGTTGAATGATCTGATTCCGCACTGTAGGGACCCTATGTTACAAAGATAGGTGGAGGGACAGGTAGTATTGATAAGGAAGGGAGACTGTAGAAGTCCTTGGACAGGCTAGGAGAGGGGCAAAGAAGTGAATACAATGTGGGAAAGTGAGGTAATGTGCTTTAGAATGTAGTCTATGCCTCTATTCTTCCTACTAAACAGGGATAGGCTTTGGAAACCTGAAGCACAAAGGGACTTTGTTGTAGTTCAGGATTCTCTTAAGGATAACATGCAAGTTTGGTCAGGAAAGTAAATGCAGTTCAGTTTGAGAGGGCTAGGATACAGCAGGGATGTATTGCTGAGGCTGTACAAGATTCCAGTCAGACTGCATTTGGAATACTGTGAGCAGTTTTGAGCCCCATATCTAAGGCAGGATGTGCTGGCATTGGGGTGGGGGTGCTGTGGGTGGGAGGGCTCAGAGGTTTACAAGAATGATCCCAGGGATGAAGGACTTGTCATGTGTGGAGTGGTTGAGGACTCTGGGTCTGTGCCGATGGAGTTCTGACAGATGAGCGGGATCTGATTGAAATTTAGAGAATACTGAGAGGCCTGACCTCAGTGAGGGATCAACCTTCACTCAATCCCCTAGTTCTTTTATCTGACATCATTGTTCAATGGTGTTATTATCACCAAATCCCCCACTATCAACATCCTGGGGGTTATCATTGACCAGAAACTCAACTGCACTCACCACATAAACAGACTGGCTACAAGAGCAGGTCAGAGGCGAGGAATACTGTAGCAAGTAACTCCCCACCTGACTCCCCAAAGCCTGTCCACCATCTACAAGGCACAAGTCAGGAGTGTGATGGAATACTCCCCATTTGCCTGGATGGGTGCAGCCCCAACAACACTCAAGAATCTTGACACCATCCAGGACAAAGCAGCCGCCTCTTGACTGGCTCCACATCCACAAACATCCAATCCCTCCACCACCGACACTCAGTAGCAGCAGTGTGTACCATCTACAAGATGCACTGCAGAAATTCAAAGATTCTTTAGACAGCACCTGACAAACTCACGATCACTTCCATCAAGAAGGGCAGGGGCAGAAGGTACATGGGAACACCACCCCCTGCAAGTTCCCCTCCAAGCCACTCACCATCATGAGTGATAAGGCCTGTACTTATTACCCACAGCTCAGTCAAGGATCAACCCCATTGCTGTAGGCCTGGAGTCACATGGAAACCAGGCTGAGTTAGCGTGGCAGATTTCCTTACCTAGGGATGTTAGTAAAGCAGGTGGGTTTTTAATGATAATTGATGACAGTATCACGGTCGCCATCGCTGAGACGAGCTTTTGGTTTCAGATTTCATTGAATTTAATTTCATTGAATTTAAATTTTACCAGCTGCTGATGGGATTTGAACCATATTCCCTATATATCCATCTGGTGTCCTGGTGACTGGACCAGTGACAGCTCTGAGCACCAAGTCTGAATTATTCCAATCAAACCTGACATTGGCAAACAAGAGAGTGTGCGGCAGTGAGATTGGGGATCGATACAGGGCTATGGGGAGAGAGGTGGGGGGCAGTGGGATTGGGGATCGATACAGGGCTACGGGGAGAGAGGTGGGGGGCAGTGGGATTAGTTTGGGGATCGATACAGGGCTACAGGGAGAGAGGTGGGAGGCAGTGGGATTAGTTTGGGGATCGATACAGGGCTACGGGGAGAGAACGGGG